GCAGACACAGATCATGTCCTATTATGTATCTGGTGCAATGCTCTGCTCCAGCCCTCTGACCCCCTCCTCCTCCATGCAGATATGAATGTCTCGTGTGCCCAGCAGCGACCACTGATGACAGAAGCGGAACTCACCGTCTCTCTGCAGAAGATCCCGACCGGCGCCGTCCGAAGTTCAGACAGGAAGCTGCGAGCCGAGTCCAGCGAACTTCAACATCGGCTCTGCGGCGCCCCCTGGCGGTCCTGTGCGGTCACTGCAGCGCGCTGAGTGCTGGGCGAGGACCAATGAGGACTGTAGAAGACCAGAGAGGCGGGGCTTCATACTACAGTATACATTATGTGTTGTATGGAATGTCGGGATGCTGCGATGCCGATACCGGGCGATGTCAGCGGTATTTGTGTAAATTCATAAAATAAAGAAACAGAAATATAAAAATAATAATCATTTATTTTGCGAGTTTTCCATTGACATCAATATGTCACAATCTGCTCTCAATACCATGTGACCTAATATTCGGGATGCACCGATACCGAGGTACCATGGGGCCGGGGAAGCCGATGATCTATCGGAAGCACACCGGCGGCGGCTTCGCGCTCCCTTGCTGGGCGGCAGGTCATGACGTGGTGATTGGTCGGGAAGTCAGGCTGCCTCGCAGTGTCGCAAGGGAGCGTGATGTCGGGTTCCTAGCCAATGGGGAGGCTAGAGAGTGGCGTCGCAAGGGGGGGGTGCGGCCTGCACCTGGGTGACACCATGGGAGGGGTGACACCAAAATGACTGACAGTCATTTTGGTGTCACTCGGTCATAGACAGAGAGCCCAACAGTTGCAAGAGAGAGGAGGGGCCCACGGCCGGGTGAACGTCCCCTCCTCTCCCTCTGCCGGCGTCCATCACCAAGATGGCCGCCGGCAGGTATCACAAAGGTGGCCGCGCATGCGCGATGACGTCGCGACGGGGTGTCATCCAGTATCCGCTCCGGTTGACACCCGGCCCTCGGGATGCCCCTGAGAGGCAGCCTGGCTTCCTGACCAATCAGGAAGCTGGGCGGCAGGTCATGACGTACCCCCCCCAGGGAGAAGTTCTCCATCTGCACACCCAGTGTCACCTCTCCTGAAGCAGCACCCGGGGCACATGCCCCCTCAGCCGCCCTAGCTTCTGCCCTGTCCTAGCCAATCTGGGAGGTGGGTCATGACGTGCCGCCCTGCTTCCTGATTGGCCAGGAAGCCAGCTCCATGCTCCCTCGCGGCACTGCCGATCGGAGGGAATCTTCCTCTGACTGGAAGTTCCGGTATCGGGGGAAGTATCGGCCGTGACTACTCGCCCAGATGCTCAGTATCGGCACCGACATTGACCAGTATCGGTGAATCCCTACTTAATAGAGGTGCGCAAAATCGTGCAGTGAAAACGCTCGCCAATACGGCGTGGCCTGGGTGTGCGGCGTAATTCTTCTTGCGCATTCGGATCCGGACGCACCTGCAAAGCAACGAAATTCAGTTGATTGGGCGATTCGTCCGAATCCGAAATACCAAATTTTTTAATTCGGCCCAATATACTAAAACGATACTCGGACATATAAAAATTCGCTATCAGAACATGCCTGCCGCCATCTTGGAGGCGGGGTGCATAACGTCACATGACGTTATTCGCAGAACGAGCGGCGGCCACATCGGCCCGCCAGCGTGTTCTGCGCATGAGCGCCGCCATTCCGGAGTATATCTTTTTATACACCAAGATGGCGGCGCCCACATATTCCGGTGCCGCCACCTTACTGTATACCATGATATACTCCAAAATGACGGCATGGCGCCGATGCGGCCGCCGTTCGTTTTGCAGTTTCTTTCCGCGCTTTCGGATTCGGAAGGCTTGTTGCATTAAAATTAGTGTCAATTAAGGAAACGAATGAAAATTATTTTTGTCAACATTTTTTTTGCCCTGCGCACGACTACGACGCAATCCTTAAATACAAACTTTATTTAAAAGTACTAAAAACGTACATAGAAAGCTTTTCCATACCTCTGCACACCAAACAAAACTTTTCCCGCAATCGTCCCAGCCACCGCTTTACTCCTCCCCACCCACAAATGTGAAGAGGAGGAAACATTGGGGGGGGGCAGACAAACTACGGAGCAGTTGCCCACGGCAACCAATCAGTTTCTCTCTTCCATTTGTTCAGTTAAGATTTGAAAAGGAAAGAGAGACGCTGACAGGTTGCCGTGGTCAACTGCTCCGGTCTTGATATAGTCCCACAAAGGTGCAACGTCCGGGTCCCCGAGCTTTCATGTTCAACAGAACGATGGATTCCAGCAAAGCTCAGAGCGGGCCGGCAGCTCCCGCAGCTTCTCTCTGCTGCTTCTACCGCTCCCCAGCACCCTCCGCAGCTTCACCTCCCATGTATACAATGTATCGCTGTGTGACATGTATACAATGTATCGCCGTGTGACATCTATATAATGTATCGCCGTGTGACATGTATACAATGTATCGCCGTGTGACATGTATATAATGTATCGCCGTGTGACATGTATATAATGTATCGCCGTGTGACATGTATATAATGTATCGCCGTGTGACATGTATATAATGTATCGCCGTGTGACATGTATATAATGTATCGCCGTGTGACATGTATATAATGTATCGCCGTGTGACATGTATATAATGTATCGCCGTGTGACATGTATATAATGTATCGCCGTGTGACATGTATATAATGTATCGCCGTGTGACATGTATATAATGTATCGCCGTGTGACATGTATATAATGTATCGCCGTGTGACATGTATATAATGTATCGCCGTGTGACATGTATATAATGTATCGCCGTGTGACATGTATATAATGTATCGCCGTGTGACATGTATATAATGTATCGCCGTGTGACATGTATATAATGTATCGCCGTGTGACATGTATATAATGTATCGCCGTGTGACATGTATATAATGTATCGCCGTGTGACATGTATATAATGTATCGCCGTGTGACATGTATATAATGTATCGCCGTGTGACATGTATATAATGTATCGCCGTGTGACATGTATATAATGTATCGCCGTGTGACATGTATATAATGTATCGCCGTGTGACATGTATATAATGTATCGCCGTGTGACATGTATATAATGTATCGCCGTGTGACATGTATATAATGTATCGCCGTGTGACATGTATATAATGTATCGCCGTGTGACATGTATATAATGTATCGCCGTGTGACATGTATATAATGTATCGCCGTGTGACATGTATATAATGTATCGCCGTGTGACATGTATATAATGTATCGCCGTGTGACATGTATATAATGTATCGCCGTGTGACATGTATATAATGTATCGCCGTGTGACATGTATATAATGTATCGCCGTGTGACATGTATATAATGTATCGCCGTGTGACATGTATATAATGTATCGCCGTGTGACATGTATATAATGTATCGCCGTGTGACATGTATATAATGTATCGCCGTGTGACATGTATATAATGTATCGCCGTGTGACATGTATATAATGTATCGCCGTGTGACATGTATATAATGTATCGCCGTGTGACATGTATATAATGTATCGCCGTGTGACATGTATATAATGTATCGCCGTGTGACATGTATATAATGTATCGCCGTGTGACATGTATATAATGTATCGCCGTGTGACATGTATATAATGTATCGCCGTGTGACATGTATATAATGTATCGCCGTGTGACATGTATATAATGTATCGCCGTGTGACATGTATATAATGTATCGCCGTGTGACATGTATATAATGTATCGCCGTGTGACATGTATATAATGTATCGCCGTGTGACATGTATATAATGTATCGCCGTGTGACATGTATATAATGTATCGCCGTGTGACATGTATATAATGTATCGCCGTGTGACATGTATATAATGTATCGCCGTGTGACATGTATATAATGTATCGCCGTGTGACATGTATATAATGTATCGCCGTGTGACATGTATATAATGTATCGCCGTGTGACATGTATATAATGTATCGCCGTGTGACATGTATATAATGTATCGCCGTGTGACATGTATATAATGTATCGCCGTGTGACATGTATATAATGTATCGCCGTGTGACATGTATATAATGTATCGCCGTGTGACATGTATATAATGTATCGCCGTGTGACATGTATATAATGTATCGCCGTGTGACATGTATATAATGTATCGCCGTGTGACATGTATATAATGTATCGCCGTGTGACATGTATATAATGTATCGCCGTGTGACATGTATATAATGTATCGCCGTGTGACATGTATATAATGTATCGCCGTGTGACATGTATATAATGTATCGCCGTGTGACATGTATATAATGTATCGCCGTGTGACATGTATATAATGTATCGCCGTGTGACATGTATATAATGTATCGCCGTGTGACATGTATATAATGTATCGCCGTGTGACATGTATATAATGTATCGCCGTGTGACATGTATATAATGTATCGCCGTGTGACATGTATATAATGTATCGCCGTGTGACATGTATATAATGTATCGCCGTGTGACATGTATATAATGTATCGCCGTGTGACATGTATATAATGTATCGCCGTGTGACATGTATATAATGTATCGCCGTGTGACATGTATATAATGTATCGCCGTGTGACATGTATATAATGTATCGCCGTGTGACATGTATATAATGTATCGCCGTGTGACATGTATATAATGTATCGCCGTGTGACATGTATACAATGTATCGCCTTGTGAAATGTATACAATGTATCGCCGTGTGACATGTATATAATGTATCGCCGTGTGTTCAAAACAAATCCCCCCCAATGATCACATTTGATGACAACGCTCCAGCGAATGGCGGAATTATTATTTAAAGGGACACCTGTGTGCTTGCCCCGCGCTGGAAGCAGCCCTCCTCTGTAGTGTGTGTCAGTAGAAGGGAGGAGGGGTTAGGAGAGGAGGAAGATGACGGTGAGGAGGGGGGAGGGGCACATACTGCAGCTGGGTGGAGATAAACACACAGCCGTGGTCACACAGACTGCCTCCCCGTAGGTTGGGGGATCGATGTGTAGGGATCGCGGTGGGCGCTGGGCCTCGGACTGAGGATGGGTTTGGGTCGGCACAAGCTGGTCATCCTGCTCCTGGTTCTGTCCATCTCCCTCCTCCTCTACCTGCTCCTCCCCACCGCAAGGCCGCAACCGGAGGAGCCCAAGCTGGAGATCCCGCGCTCTGACCCGCAGGACAACATGAACGTCACCGTGAGGACCGCCACCCTGTCCGGGGACTGGCCCACCTTCTACCGGGAGGCCGTGCCGCGGAGCGCCCTGGAGGGCGGCCCGGCCGAGAGGTGAGAGTGTCCTGTTATGGTGTCGTGGCCCAAGATAAACACACAGCCGTGGTCACACAGACTGCCTCCCCGTAGGTTGGGGGATCGATGTGTAGGGATCGCGGTGGGCGCTGGGCCTCGGACTGAGGATGGGTTTGGGTCGGCACAAGCTGGTCATCCTGCTCCTGGTTCTGTCCATCTCCCTCCTCCTCTACCTGCTCCTCCCCACCGCAAGGCCGCAACCGGAGGAGCCCAAGCTGGAGATCCCGCGCTCTGACCCGCAGGACAACATGAACGTCACCGTGAGGACCGCCACCCTGTCCGGGGACTGGCCCACCTTCTACCGGGAGGCCGTGCCGCGGAGCGCCCTGGAGGGCGGCCCGGCCGAGAGGTGAGAGTGTCCTGTTATGGTGTCGTGGCCCCCATGTGTTACCCCCGGGGGCCGGTGTTATTGGACCCCCATCCCCAAAGTTGGGAGCCCAATTGAGTGACAACAAATTGGAGACCCGATCATCTCAGACCCCCCCTCCATCCCCCTCCGAGGACTGAGTGTGAATTTATTTCACCGCAAGCGTCATGG